TCTTTTGAGAAAATGAAAATATATTTTTTCTGAAAAAACAGGTTACTAATATTTTCTCAATAATAATATTTTATGTTTACTTGTATCACTGTTAATCAGCTTGTAAACATTTTTTTGTGATTGGATATTTGAAAAGTAATTAAATATGTTCTTAGGTTGTCGGAATTATGATAAATTACTTACCATGCATCATGAATTGTTACAATATATATATATATATATATATATATGCACCTGAAATAAACCTAAACAAAACTTTAGATGTGCTTTTTAATTTTTTAATTTTTTCTAATCTTCCTCCCTTAAGAGGCGAAGAGAAGTTTCTCCTCACAGGAAAACAATTTTCTTTTATAATTAGTTTTCTCCAATTACACAAAACATATGAATCTTATCATTAAAAACATTTTCTTGAAAACAAACATAAAAAAAAATACTTAATAAAGATCAGTTTAAAGCCAAACCTGATTGCCAAAAGCATCACCAAAAATAACACTGATCTGATCAGTTGTATATTTGGGTGATAAACAGCTTGTCGAAATGATCACAGTGTAAGCACAGCTCCCTACAGTCTTTAGGAAAAGGAAAAAAGAAATTTTACTTTACAAGATACATGGAAATAAATTTAATAAAGATATTATAAATCAATACAGGAAAATAATGAATTAGTGAGTACGTGCCTGCTGGATTAAACCGGGACTGAAAGACTGATCAAGAGCATGAGGTTGAACCCGATTGCTTGGATGATCAGCTTTTGATAGAACAACAAAAATGAAGGCAAAACAAAGCAGAAGAGAGTAATGGGCTGTCCTCATTTTTTCCCCTCTAAAACAAGAAATACAAGAAGACAGATCGATGGTGGTTAATGGAGGTTACACAGAAAACCCTAGTCTGGTATTTATAAAGAGATTGTAGGGTTTTTATGGGTGGAATGGTAGTTGCGTAAGTGACAAATTGACATTGCAACATGGACATATTTTTAGCTTGTAGATCATAGAAAGATACTCAATGTTCTCTTGCACATGAATAATGTTGAACATGTATGGACTGTCAGGTTCCCAGTACAGGCATGGTGCAGTGAAAAATTTTGGTTTTGAATCCTCCCTTTATAATAAAATTTAAAAAGAACTACTTGTAAATATAAATTTCTAAAGCAAACAGAGACCTTTTTTTTTCACAAAAAGAAATTGTCTAGTAATAACCTTCCAAGGACTTTGGTCAAGACTTCAACCTAGTTATAATTTAGTTGAGCTTGTGGCAATTAATTAATAGTTTTATATATATTCATTCTTAGTTAGCTAAAGCCTGGTCAAGGCAGGCCATGAATGAGCGAAACAAAGTTTTGACATATGGATGGAAGTTTCTGCAAAGCTTTCTAGCCCATTCTGATATGATCGTCTTTCTCACTTTAATTGTTTTCCCTCCTACATCCTCTTTTTTTTCTCTTTTCTTTTTTATAGTATCCAAGATTTTAGCAAAAGAGAATCATATTACTAATAAGTTAATGGCAATCTAGGTGGTAGAGAAAAAAAGTTCTGAACAAGGGAGAAAGAAAGACAGCTAAATAAAAGGCAGGAAAACAAGAGCAAAAACTATACATAAACCAACATTAATTAGACCAGAGTGTAGAATGCCTTCGGGGCCTCTTACCAGATCATGGGATCATTGCAGGTAAGAATATTAGAGTCCACAATTCTTAGCCAAAGTGCTAGCCTATGGAGAATGAGATCAAAGATGGAATTCCAGTCTAGTTCTTTATCTTCAAAAATGTGTTTGTTTCTGGAATTCCGACTTCCCCACAATATGCCATAGGATAGTAAAGTGATTGCCCTCTACTGATATCTGCCTTGAACCAGAACATCCCACTGTAGAATGACTTTATCATCAGTGTTAGGCAATTACCAACTGGTACCAATCCAGTTTATAAAGCGTTGCTATAATTTTCAGGATTCATAGCAATGAAGAAAAACATGAGATACAGTTTCAATGTCATTGCCACAGAAAGAACATGATGCTTGTTCTAGTGTAATTAAAATTCTCTTTAGAAGGAAATCTCTAGTGCATACTCTATCTTGAAGTAATAGCCATAAGAACATGTCAATCTTGGAGTGGTGTTATTCCTTTCCATAGAATTGATGAAAATGGAGAAGTACCTGATTTTCGACTCATCAATAATTTTACAGCATGCTTTTACCTATTCCTTTTCTTATTTCCCTTTTCTTTATATATATATATATATATATATGATTTCTTTTTTCCATTACTTATTGAAAAAGCTTAGAACCAAAGAAAG